CAGTGCACAAACTAGGTTTATTGAAAATGAGACAACAGTTTCGAAATCCTCGTGGGCCCGGATTCACTAACGCACTTACGAGTTGAGCTGCGTCAGGAAACCCGAGAACAGGGTGGGGTCATGGAACCAGAGAGCAAAGGCGTCTTCGACATATCTCAGCCACACGGAAGGACGAAAGGAGATGGAAGGGAGAAGCAATGACTCGAAGAACTCCATGAATAGGTTTACCAGCACTGGAGAGAGAGGAGAGCCCATGGCTACACCGAATATCTGAGAGTAGAAGCGACTCTCAAAGGCAAAGGAATTCGACTCCACACACAGACGAATCAGCTGGAGGAAGACGTCGGTGGGCAGAGGGAGACGAGGATCCTCGGCAGGGAGCTTCCTCTGAAGGAAAGCGAGGACCTCATCAAGCGGGACCTTGGTGAACAGGGAGTCGACATCCAAGCTCATCATGGTCGCCGGCGAGACACCATGGACGCAGGAGGTGAAGGTGAGCAGGAGAGAAGATGCAAAGACGAGGGTGAGAGACTTCGCCCGCAAGGCTGCAAGAGGGTGCGTCTCAGATGATGGGGCGCAGAGGCACGGCCGGGTTAAGGGTTTTACGAAGCCCATGGAAATGAGGGAGACGTGGACTGATGACCTCGAACCTCCGGCAGAGAATTCGCCTCCGGGAAACAGGCTGTTAACTCACTCAGGAGCAGGTCGGTCCTGCTGGCGGGCCTCGAGCGGAAACCGAAGGGTGGCCGGGCGGCGGAGGCACAGGGGAAGAGACTGGCGGGCCAGAGCTCGGACTGCGGCTGCGGGCAGCGGACATTTCCGTTTATAACAACGCGCCTCGCCTTTGCGTGGTCTACCTGTGGTGCCTGACTATCTCGGAGGCTCGCATTCCTCGACACCAGAAAACGCACTCGCCAACCGGAACTCCTGTGGCGCTACTTGCAAGTGAGACACATAGAAGCAGGCAGCGAAGCAGTTTATCGCACAGGTTAGCTTGAGTCGTCAAAAGTACCCCGGATGTGCCCACCCGCCCGCAGTGTCAGCGAGGAGGCCGCCCTTGAGAGGTGACAGTGGCGGCGGCGGCTTGTGGACGAGGAGGAAGAGGCTGGCAAGTGACACTAACAAGGTCACTGACAGGGACTACTATAACGCGAGAAACGGAAGTGTGGCCGATGAGGATGATGGTGGTGAGGATGATAATAAAAAAACAACACAACAATAATAATGATTATTAATATTATAGCTACAACTACAACAAGACAACAACGACAATGATAATGATCATGATAAAACACTCCACACAGGCAACAGCAACAGCGAAGAGCGCTCCACACCTTTCCAGCAAGGTCTCAGCGCCTCCAGAGGTGCGTTCGCGTCCACGGCCTCCCCCACTCTCAGCGCGACCCCTGACCTCCCATGACCCAAGCGCCTACCGAAGCGAAGTCAACGACGCCAGGGACCTCCTGCAGGAGCCGACCGCCAGGAATGCTTCCTCTGGACAGGGACTCCAGGTAGAGCGAGAGGTCAGCGAAGGTCATTCTGGACTGACCGGCTCCAGCAGTTCCAGACTCGTGTCTCCGCCGACCGCTGACCCCGCCGGCCGCAGCACCTGACCGGCCTCTCTCCCCTGCTGCCCTCCCCCTCCCCCTCCCCATGGCAGTGACAGCCGTAAAGACGATGATGGTGATGGCGGCGAACAAGCAATAAAAACGGCAATGATAATGATGGAGTTAATATATATAATGATGATGATTATAATGACTATAATTATATCAATGATAATAATTATAATAAAAATATTATCACTAATGAAAAAAAATAGTAATGAATAATAAAAAATAATGATAATGATAAAGAATAACGGTAATGATTATGACATAATATAATAATAATAACAAGAACAAAATGATAAGGACAATAACAACAATACTGATGATAATATTAAGGATAAAGATAATGACGATTATGAAGAAGAAGAGATCACGATAATGATATTGATAATTATAATACTAATAACACTATTATTAAAAAAATAGAAGTGATAATAATATGATAACAATCATAACAGCAACAATGTTGATAATTATAATAACTATTATAACAATGATAACAATAAATATAACAATAATGATGAGGATAATAATAATGATGAGGATAATAGCAAAGATAGACAACGATAAAAGCAATGATAGAAATGATAAGAACATTAACAATAATGTTAATGACGATAATGATGATGATGATAATAATAATAATAATAATGATAATGATGATGATAATAATTATAATAATAATAATAATAATAACAATGATAACAAAAGTGACAATGATATAATTAAAATGATAATGATAATAATAGACATTACAATAATAATGATGATTATGATAATAATGATTAAAGAATGATAATGATGATAATAGCAATGATGAAAATACTAACAATGATAATAACGATAACAATAATAATAATGATGATAATAGTAATGATGATAATAATAGTAATAATAATAATAACAAGAATGATAATGACGATAATTACTATTATTATTACGACAATGATGATAATAGTGATGACAACAATGATGATAACAATAATGATAATATTGATATTTGTAGTAGTAGTAATAAGTGGTTATAATGATATGACAGTAACAACAACAACAACAAAACTATGATGATAATGATAATAATAGGGATAATGATGATAATAAT